GGACGGCTGGAGGTGGTGGTGTGCGAGAGGAGCCGGTCTGGTACCTCTCCCAAAGAGTCGCTGCGGTGGGCGGGTGCTGAGCCTGCTCAGAATGTGTACTTATTTCCGAGTAGCTCTACTTGGATGCTTACTCTGTGTCCCTGTAATTAACCTTAGGATTAATTAGTTTTTTTAATTCCCACCCCCCTTTACGTAGGATATGAAGGTGAACACAGCTCAGTTCATGGCACTCTATGCCTGGTATTCCTGGCCCAATGTGGTTCTTTGCTTCTTTGGAGGTTTTCTGATAGACAGAGTATTTGGAATACGGTAAGTGTGATGTTGGTATCATTCCCGTTCAGCGGCTGGTGGACTTACAGTGTATGTCATGTACAGACTTTTTAGTGTAAAGTTTTTTCAAATTACAGTAAGATTTTTCACTTTATTTTCACATGTTCTAGTAATTTCCACTGGTATAAATGAGCTTCTTTCCCTTTATGGTTTAAATAAAGTGGCTTCAAAAATGCCAGTCCCTACTACCTTCTTTAAGGAAGCTGTCATGCTGTAGCATTTATAACGTAGACCTTTTATTGCATATCAGCCCCCCCTTGTTCCCTTCCTGTAGGTCTAACACAGTGATTTGTAGGAAAAAAGGTTGTAGCTATGCATTCAGTCATTTTATTTTTCTTACAGGTTGGGCACTATAATATTTAGTATCTTTGTTTGTGTCGGGCAGGTAAGTCTGAGGGATGATACGTGTCTAAAGCATCTCTAACGGGGGTGGGGGGAAAAGCCTCAATGGCTTCTCATTTGGTGGTGTAATTTTAGCAGGGAGTGGGCAGGTGAAGGGAACTGAAATGGGACAACCCCGGACTGTATTGAGGTAACTGGGAACAGATGGGGTAACTGGGAACAGAGCACCTTGGAAGATGAGGAAAATAAGAATAATATCTGTTTGATGTGAAACTGCTGAAATAAGAATGTGAAGAAACTAATATCTGTTTGATGTGAAACTGCTGTATTTGGGTAGGGTAGGATGATAAAGGTGAAGGGTGACTTGAGCCTCTAAAATTGCTTTCCGAGCGCAGTTTCAGGGGGCCAGGTCGGTATTGTGTAGCCAGCAGGATGATGCGTAAGGCAGAGGGAGCGAAGGCAAAAAACTAGGAGTAGGAAGTGGGTGTGAAGTATTTCTGCAGGTCTGGGGAGGAAAAAAAGCATTTTTTGTTACTAGGAGTAGGAAGTGGGTGGAAAAAAAGTGGGGAGGAAAAAAAGCATTTTTTGTTTCTGTTTTGAGATGGTTCTAGTTTGTTCCATATGTCAAATATTAAATCATCATTTTTCCCTAAATGTCTACCGACAGGTGATTTTTGCTTTGGGAGCACTACTCAATACTTTCTGGCTGATGGACGTGGGCAGATTCATATTTGGGTAAGTCTAGAAGAGCGTATGATGTAATCTGAGGTAAGGACTGTCTGTGTCCTGCTACCACATCTCCACCTAGAGACAAAATTGCTGGATTTTGAGGCATCTGTAAAGCTGAGACCATGCAGAAATCTCCAGTCACATTCCCAGTCTAACTTAAGTTAGAAAGCAAAAAATAGGACTTTGCTGGTCTTACGGAATTCAGAAATTATGAAACTACCTAAATAAAGACATGGGGTAAGCTGATAAAACTGTGTTAGTTCTCCTTTTCTCTTAATTCTTACTTTCCTGAGTCAAAAAAGATTCTTAGCAACACCAAATACAGCAGAGCTGCTGTGGTGGAGAACAAATGAGAACACATGTCAGAAGAAATGCCTCCAAGTCTGTGAATGGGCCACAGCATCAAACTTAAAAAATCTGGCCAACTCTCTAGGGGGGTGGGCAGATGAGTCCGTAAAATTCAGATTCTAGGGAAGATGCCTGCTTTTGGTTTCGTTTGGGTCAGGTTCTATACTGTTTGGTTCTTTAATGCAGAACAGAAACCAGAAGCTGCTGCCCGTTGATTTAATTTCTGTAAATGACCAAAGGTAATTAGAATAGCTCCTGGACTAATTAAGATACCTTGTACCTTGTTGTAAGACCCTGCAATTCTCTTTTGAATTGTCCTTAGGACTTCTGTTGCCTTGCATATGTGCATTAGATCTACCTGCACACAGGTTCATTTCTTTGTTGTGTTAGTATTGCTGAGAACTGATGGACTGCTTCCTTGGTGCTTTGCATGTTGCAATTAACGTGTTTGGTTTTGTGCCTTCCTTCTTTTTTAGCATAGGCGGAGAGTCCTTGGCGGTGGCTCAAAACACCTATGCTGTCAGTTGGTTTAAAGGCAAGGAGCTAAATCTTGTGTTTGGATTGCAGCTAAGCATGGCCAGAATTGTAAGTGTAAACCGTATTGCTTCAGTTCATAGACTTTAAGGTGTGCAGCTTCTCCTGGCATGGGACAGTTGGAAAACAGTGGCTCTAATGCTCCCTAGGGAGTTTTCCCTAATGTCCAGTCCAAACCTCCCCTGGCACAACTGGAGGCCGTTTCCTCTTGTCCCATCACTTGTCCCTTGGGAGAAGGGACCGACCTCCCTGTCTCTGCAACCCCCTTTCAGGGAGCTGTAGGGAGCCATAAGGTCTCCCTGAGCTTTTTCCTCTCCAGGCTGAACATCCCCAGCTCCCTCAGCCACTCCCCATGGGAACTGTGCTCCAGCCCCTTCCCCAGCTCCGTTCCCTTCTCTGGGCACACTCCAGCCCCTCAGTGTCTTAGCTGGTTGCAGTGGGGTCTGGGTTGATGTTCAGGCTGTTGCTAATTAGCAGTTACCTCATCTTAGCTGAACGGTAGTTACCTGTCTGTTGGTAGCCTTGGGATTGAAGCCATGGATCCCTTCTCTAGGGGGAGAGGACAAAAAAAAAGTACTGCTTCCTGATGCCTGTCAGATGGGAATCCTGGTCGCTTTAACACGCAGTATTAAGTTCAGCTCAGTTCGGGAGCTAATGCAGTGTATGTTCTTCTCCCCCTGTGCTCTGCTCTTGTGAGACCCCAGCTGGAGTGCTGCGTCCAGCGGTGAACCGTCAACATCAGAAGGATATAGACTGGTTGGAGCGAGTCCAGAGGAGGCCACGGAGATGCTCCGAGGGCTGGAGCACCTCTGCCATGGGGACAGGCTGGGAGAGTTGGGGGGTTCAGCCTGGAGAAGAGAAGGCTCCAGGGAGACCTTATAGCACCTTCCAGTGCCTGAAGGGGCTACAAGGAAGCTGGGGGGGACTTTCTACAAGGGCCTGTAGTGACAGGACAAGGGGTAACGGGTTTAAATTGAAAGCGGGGAGGTTTAGATTAGATATCAGGAAGAAATCCTTCCCAGAGAGGGTGGGAGCACTGGGACAGGTTGCCCAGAGAAGCTGTGGATACCCCATCCCTGGGAGGGTCCAAGGCCAGGCTGGATGAGGCTTGGAGCAACCTGGTCTATGGAAGGTGTCCCTGCCCATGGCAGGGGGGGGGGCTGGGTGGTCCTTAAGGTCCCTTCCAGCCCAAACCTTTCTGTGATTTTATGATGATGTGGATTTTCTGGCACTTCTGATATCTCTGATGAAGCACTGTTTAGAGGTGGGTAAAATACCAGTTTGTGGTGGTGTATTATTGTTGCAGTTACTAATTTAGTACAAAAACTGACTGAACCAGCTGGGAATAATTTTATCATTGTTGCTGGCGGTTTATGTTCCCTGTGTAGCATCTCACCGGTTTGTTTTAAACAGTACGCTGTTTGCCTAATGTTCCCTTTGAATTCATATAACTGTGCAATACGTAATTCTTCACACGAGTCTGTTCTGCCTAGGGGAGCACAGTGAACATGAATATCATGGGATGGATATATTCTAGAGTTCAAGATCTTCTGGGTTATACTGGTCCCAGTACGCTCGGGTTAACTCTCATGATAGGTCAGTAATGTTTTGGATCACCTGCTGTTTTAGGCTTCTGAATGTGAACAGGATGCATATGTATGAATGACTTTTGTAATGAACTTGAAGGTAGGACAGATATTTGAGACTGGGAAGAGCAATTCAAATACTGTCTGTACTGATGGCCAATATTCTTGCTGAGAGTGTGGGATTAGTGCATCTGATAATGTGCTGTCTGGTTTTTGTGGCTGCCAAATTCAAGTTTGTATCTTGTGGAGATGAAACGTTTAGTGTGCTTTGAGTAGAGGACAGACTTGAACAGTTTTCTCAAGGGTGTCACGTCAAAGCTTGCCTGTAGTCTGATGCGTAAGAGCAAAACCTCAAGTGCCTTTGGATCTGTGTTTCTTTCCTTTAGAGCCGTGGGTGTTAAGGCTTTGTTAGTACAAGGGACAGCTAAGGTGCTTGGCTTTGTGGAGTGGGGGTGGTGGTAATGTTTTCCATAAATAAATACAGCTACACCTTTGTACTCCAGTTCCAGGCAGATGTCTGGTGGCAGGCTTCTGAGTTGTGCAGCTGTTGAGTCTTATATGTGAGACCAGCTGGTCTTAAATTCGACTTGTGTTAGATATGTAAAGGCACGCTGCACTGGTTGTGCTTAAAAGCCAGATTACTACTTGAGTCAACAGCGAAATGTATTGCGTTGCCTTCTTGCAGGTGGCATAACGTGTCTCTTTTCGCTGGCCTGCGCGTTGATCCTTGCCCATCTGGACAAGAGAGCAGAGAAGCTCCTTTGTAAAGAGCAAGGGAAAACGGGTGAGTGGTGTGGCTGATCCTGCCTGCCTTCGTTCTGGAGCAGACCCTTCCAGTTGCTCTGTGCACGTTTGCGTTGTGCGTAACTCCGTGGCTGCTGCTTAATGTCTTTTTCCCATTCATAGCTTTAATCATGCTTTTTAGCTCATTTTAATATCAGGAGGAGGTTTTACAGCTTTAAAAACCAGTTTACAGGCAGGTGCGCTGTCATCTGCTTCGTTTATAAAGCATGTGGAGAACCTCCCAGTTCGCACCAATTGGATTTGTGCCATTGCCACTGGTATTTTTGTTACAGTTGGTGTTATTTCCTTTAAGGGATGTGCAAAACCATGCAGCTCTTCTCCATCAGCATGTGTAGTGTTTTGTATTCTGTGTGGGAGAATTTAGACCAATTCAAACCCAACTGAATTTGAGATCCAACAAAGAGCATGTGACATGAGGCTTCAGACATGAGTTTTGCTACCTGATTAAACAAGTGGTTTGTATTTCATTCTGCTGCTGAAGACTTTCAGAGGCTTTAGAGAGCTTGTACGTCCCGCTTAATGTGGGACAGACAATTTGTTCTTGGCTCTGGCACTGTTGGTTTAGCACTTGTGTATTCTTAACCGACTCTCACTGTGTAAACTTTAATCCAGTGAGTAGAGGGTGGCAGGACTATGTGCTTTAGTAGTGACTTGTGGTCACCTTAATGTTTATTCAGCGTGGAGGAATTTCAGGTATGCTCATGCTGACTGAAACAATATTGTCTCTTGCTCTGCTCCAGGTGAAGTCATTAAGCTAACCGATGTGAAGGACTTCTCTTTGTCCCTGTGGCTCATATTTGTCATCTGTGTCTGTTACTATGCAGCGGTTTTTCCTTTCATTGGACTTGGAAAGTAAGTGTCTCTCCCTTGTGTAGCTATTCCCCTCGAATTTGGCTGGGGCTGTAAATAGCAGAGTACAAAGGGAGAGGTGCAGGCTAATATTTAAGAATCATAGAATAGAATCACAAGGTGGTTTGGGCTGGAAGGGCCCTTAAAGCCCACCCAGCGCCACCCCCTGCCATGGGCAGGGACACCTTCCACCAGACCAGGTTGCTCCAAGCCTCATCCAGCCTGGCCTTGGACACTCCCAGGGATGGGGCATCCACAGCTTCTCTGGGCAACCTGTTCCAGTGCTCCCCACCCTCTCCAGGAAGAATTCCTTCCTGATGTCCCATCCCAATCTCCCTATTTCCCTTGTCCTGTCACTCCCTGCCCTTGGAAAAAGTTTCCCTCCAGCATTCATCCCAGATGGCTGCAGAACCACTGGTCTCCTAGCGAGTCTGTGCTGTGGTTTGTCACTTCTGAGGCATTGTTTGTGACACTGGTGGTATAAACTAACACAATTCTTACAGTTTCCTTGTCTGCTGAGGCTTGGAGTGACCTGGTCTGGTGGAAGGTGTCCCTGCCCATGGCAGGGGGTGGGGCTGGAGGGGCTTTAAGGTCCCTCCCAACCCAAACTGTTCGGTGATTCTATGAGTAGCTTGGTCAAATGGGTTTTGAATATACTTGGAATTAGAAACAGATTTCTTGAGCTCAACATGTGTTTTATGTTGATGTCTTGGACAGGCAGCTACGTGGATGCCTTTTTTTTTGCTTGTGCATGTATTGAAGAAATTCTCACTTAGGTCTCTTACAGTATGCTCACTGCTAATGCCTCATTGTTGGGTTACCTGTTGGTTATGTACTTGGATGTTTTTCCCAAAGTGTAATTGGAATAGTCTGTAGACAAAAAATTGTAGAGTCTGATAATAAGCTCCTAAATATATTGTAAATGAGGATCTGCAGTGGGTTGGTTGTTAAAGCTATATAGCTATATCTTCCTGTTCTCTCTGCACTAGGTTCTTGTGTCTTTACTTTTGTCTGGTTTAATTTTTCTTTCGCATAATACAAACGTGCATTTTCCTAAGCCTGTTTTTCTTCTTAGGGTTTTCTTCATTGAGAAATTCAAATTCTCATCTCAAGAAGCAAGTGCAATTAACAGGTATATTGTGATTGGTTTAACAAGTAAATGTGCTACTGCTGTGTTCTAGGGGTATATGTGTCTGTGGGCTCTGACCCCGTGGGAGGAAGTTTGGGCTCTACTGTGGCACGTGGTGACTTGTATTTAAGTGGATAGATTTCACATGCCCCAAGGAGTAACTGGGAGCTGTGGGTATTTGTTTACATAAAAATGCCTTGGATGTTCACATTGAGGAATTGGAAAAGGATCTGCCTGAAGGGTGGTATTTTGGTGATTCCCTTCTGAGTGACAGAAGCGGTTTAATAGCAACCCTAAATGAACTAAATTTTTCTAGTTTGAAGATGAATTTGTGATGTGGCAAAAAAACCCCAAATAAATAAAAATCAACAACAAAACACTTACTGGTATATGATTCTGGGAGCTCCGAGTAGGTGACTAGTTCCTTGGATGTTGAATGTTTCATGTCCTTTTTGGAATCATGAGTTCTGGAGTCTTGTTTGGGGACATTTTGTGTGTGTGGTTTTCCTTACAGTCTCTCAGGTAACAGGGAGTGTGGTGTTTTATCTGGAGACACTTGCATTGTGTAACACCTCAAACTGCCCGTGGCTAGACAGTGTTCAGTTCTCTTATTTTTATTCTTTTGTAGTATTGTGTATATCATATCGGCACCCATGTCCCCAGTCTTTGGACTTCTGGTGGATAAACTTGGGAAGAATATCATCTGGGTTTTATGTGCTGTAATAACTACCCTTGCTTCTCATATTATGTTGGCTTTTACCTTCTGGAACCCCTGGATAGCAATGGTAACTAATTCTCTGAGACTTATAGCAAAATATGGTAAAATAAGAGTTGATGATGAATTGTTGTGTGTAAGTTGCCACTCTCTTCTGACTGTTTAGGTACTCTAAAAAGGATATACTGTGTGAAACAGTTTGAAACTGAAGAGGGTGAAAAAGCAAAGCATGCATTATTCAGGCAAAATTAACACAAGCTGTCTGTGGCCTGAAGATAACACCTTAGTTTTTGGTGTTTTGTGGAGGGAGGCAGGAGCTGTGCGTGTGTGTGGTGAGGTGGAAAAGATTGGCTGCTGTCTGCGGCAGTGATTCCATAGTTGTGTGCAAAAGGGTGTTTAACTACTTAGGATTAGGCTGGAGGGCTGTGTGGAGTAGCAATTCCTTGTCCCTTCCGAGGAGGCCTTAGTTCATCAGTCTGTGTGGTTTGGTGGTGCTCTGTGTCAGAGGTCTGCTCTCACGCTTCTCACACTAGCTATTACTAGATTACTGTGCTAGCTGCACCCTTTTATCCTAAAACTTGTTCTTCTGGTGGAGTTCTGAAGCTTATTGCCATCATATAATTAAGCCACTCTCTCTAATGTGCTGTATTGGGTAGTGGTAAACCTCAGAAAAATCTCTCTTACTGATTTCCTGTTCCTAGGGCAGATTCCCTGAGAAATTGCTTTGGAATTAAGGTTTACAGGCTGAAATGCGATGCTGGCCGGTGTATTAGGGTTAAAACCAGGGTTCTTGTTTTTCAGGTGTTTCATAGTGAGTTGCAGCATTGATCTCTTCCCCTGGGTATTCCAGTCAGGCACTTAATGCTAGTTAGATAGGGTTCTGTTTGTGGGTCACTCCTGGGAAAAGGTCTCTCTCCTACTAAGTTTGCCTATTTATTTAGCACGGTATGGCAAAAAGTGTTACTTTTTTCCCCTTTTGGGAGAAGAGGAAAACCAATATGTTCATTTATTAGAACTTCACAGCAAAGATGCACCTCATCTAACAACTGCCTGCTTGTTCTCATTTCACCAGTGTATGCTAGGAGTGGCCTACTCCTTGCTTGCCTGTGCCCTGTGGCCCATGGTGGCCTTTGTTGTTCCAGAACACCAGCTGGGGACTGCTTACGGCTTGTGAGTACTCAGATGCGTCCGTGCTGCCCTGCAGTGACCGCGTTCCCGTGCTGCTGAGCCACCGGAGCGGTTCTAACGCGTTAATAGCTCCTCCAGGTTCAGTCTAGCAGGAGCTCTTGTGTAGTTTCGGGGGGTGTGTGTCATGTAACGTCAGGCAGAAGTTAATCTCGTCATTTGCTCGATGCCACGAATGATGTTTCCTTTAAAAACAAGTTTCTACAGGGTGTTATTCCTTTGTTTGTGTCCTAGTATGCAGTCTATCCAGAATCTTGGTCTGGCAATTATCGCCATAGCAGCTGGGATGATTCTGGACACGAGAGGATACTTGTTTCTTGAAGTCTTCTTCAGCGCTTGTGTTTGCTGTAAGTAGTAAAACCACTGAAAATGGGTTCTGGATGCTATAATAGGGGTTTTAATATTTCCCTTAAACCAGTAACCTTCTTGCTGTGCCATTGGAGAGGGGTTTCAGACGGGGCACAGCTGACAGTAACTCAAGCCTGATGGAGTGTGGAGTGTTTTTCTTGAGGTGATGTAGTGCAAGTAGTTTAAGTGTTTGGAAAAAAATCAAGAGTTAGTAAAAGTGTAGGTGTATGATATTCTTCTGAGGGCAGTTATTAACATAACCAAGAAAAGGTTATTTTCGTCTTACTATGCTATTGACAGTGGAATTTTCAGAAATGATTGAGATGCTGCAGACAAAAGTCTCCTCTGTTACAACTGTCATGGAAAGTGTTAGTTGCTGCTTGGTAGTATGTTGAATCTTCTGTTATTGTAAATAATTTGTTGTCAGCTAAAACTGTCCCCCCCTTTTTTTTTTAGTGTCACTAATAGCTGTAGTCATGCTGTATTTTGTGAATCACCTCACAGGTAAGTTAAGTGTACTCAGCTTCTCTTGGTATTTGTATTTATCATTAATTCTTGAGGTTATTAAGCTGAACTGTTTACATATGTTATTAATTACATACATTTGTTTCTTTTTGTAAAATTACTCTGCTGATTTCTTTTGTCGACTCCTCTGAGATTTTCTGCAGTGAGGTGTGATATCAGAGGTGCAATACAAAAAGGCCAGTTTTGAAGTTTCCCAGTGTGTACTGTTTCCGTTGCAGGTGGTGATCTCAACTGGTCTGCAAAGAAAAGGGAAAAACTGCAAAAAGTAGCTGCATCTGAGTAAGTATTATGAACAGTGGCCTTATGAGATGTTTAACCTGAAGTACTGAGTGGATTTCTGCCTGAACTCCGTCTCTTTTGTAGATCTGCCATTTATACTGAATGTTACTTTCCCCCCAGGTAGTAGTTGGATTTCATATTTTGCCTCCTGTGAAAAATTAGAGGCAGTAGCAATGAACCAGGTCTCCTTTCCTGGCACTCCTGCTTGCTATTTCTCTTTACTAATTTCAGTAGCCTTCCAGCTGCGGGGAACTGAAGTGTTTTGAAAGAAAGCTGCATCACTTATTTAAATAAGTGTTTCATTTACAAGGTGCTGATTTTACCTGGGTTTAATGTTGGGTAATGCATGGACCACTCTTTTTTTAACCATCATATTAAAAGCTGGATCTCTCTTTGGAAGAAATGGCACTCCAGTCACTTCCCCTTGTCCTCTTGCTGTCTTATTTAGATGTCTTAATTCAACTTGTCTCTGAAAACTGTGGCTGGGGTCTAGATTGCAGTGCTAATGTGACATTCATTTTGTGGTCAGGTTTGTGCCATGAACGTGCTTGATTTCAGTGAATTTTCCATTATTAGAAACAAAACAAATGGGGCAGGTGCATTTCAACGAAGTGGGATCTGTTTAAAAGGAAATGGAGCACTTGAGGTGGGCATAGGGCAGAAATTGTTGAAATAAGCAAATTTTGACAGTTTATCCAACTAAGCCAATTCTGTTTTGTGGGAGACTTCGAATGTCTGTCTGTCCTCTCTGCAGAAAATAAGGTCAGTGGCACTCCTCAGAACATAAAATATCCTTGTCCTTGGTCTTGAGAAGACAGTGACATGTTAAGGGTCCATTGCTCTGTGTAGCCCTGACAGCTGGAATTGGGTACTCTTGCTTTTTTAGAGCCTGTTTGGATCAAAAATGAAGGTATCGGTCACCTGCTCTTGAGATTTTCTCGGAGTTTTAGGGCACTGGATTTATCCCCTTTGCACAGCATTACTTGCTTTTCTGTTCGCTCTCCCAGAATCCTGACAGAGGGGTAAAGCTCTCAGTGGGTATGGAAAGCTGTGCAAGGGAGGGAAGCCCCAGGTTACTCTGAACTTGCAAAATAATTGCCTTGTATTGGGGGAGGGGAGAGAAGGAAGCACTGTATGGCCCAGGCCATTAAGAGATGCCACCTTAAAGGCAACACAAAAGACCCTTCCTCTCCGACTTCTCCATGAGCTCCTTAACTGTCTAGAAAAACTGCTTTTTTCAAGTAGATGTAACGTAAAGTCTGTCCATCAGGTGGAGTTTGGGCAGCTTAGTTTCTGTCCTGTTGAAGATGCTGCTTCTAGCAGTGTCGCAGCGCCCAAAAATCGTGTTACCTTTTCCTTGTTCGAATGTGAGGATTAAAAATAAGTGCTTTGGAGAATGTCACGTCAGTGGGGATGAAAGTTTATTCACTTATCTTTACGTGTATTTAAAGATAACAGCTGCAGTTCAAGCTGCTGGTAGATGGACAACAGAACTTGTTCATCTGAAATGCTTTCTGTTCTGACCTAATTCATCTCAGTGAGGCTCTTCAGATCTTGGAGTTTATTTGTGTGTAAAATTGTTGGAAATCTTTACTTTTTAGTAGGTAACTACACTTCATCTGCAGGTATTGCACATCTCACAGCTTATATGCAAGTTCATTCCAGATAAATACTTTTCCAGCCAGACATCTCTTATAAATGGACTTTGACTAAAATGATACAAGTGTTTATATGATGGTACTAAAGTTAGTTTTGGGGACAAAAACACCTGTTAATAGGTGGGGTGTACCATGGTTTTGGTTCTTGCCCTAATTTGTGGTCTTGTTACACCTCAGTCTTGAGGAGAGCTCAGGGAAACTCAAACCTCACCAGGCCTGGTGAGCATGCTGGCTTAGCTGTGATGAGTATATCCTTGAGCCAAAAGGTCACAGCCAGTTTGTAATACCAACGCAACGAAAACCCGCCTCGCACGCGGGAGCGAAGGAATTCTGTATCCAAACAGAGCTGCATTTCGGTCTGCCCGGCCCACGTGGGAGTCTTTACTGTCAGAGATGACTTTGCATTAGCGTGTGCTGCGGGGAGTAGTGCCTTAGAACAGTATTTTCAGTAATTCTTATTACACTGTTTTTTGCAGAAAAGAAATTTGAATAGCAAATATCATCCAGAAGTGGGGAGCGTTTGATCAGCATCATGTCAACTTGAAGAATTAGTGTTGATTAGTTTGGTGATCACTCTGCACAGTAGCTCTTTGGAGAAGAGACTAACATGCTGGGGAATTTTACAGTAAATGGCTACGTTTTGTGCTTTGTAACCAGTTTTAACTAGTACCAAATCACCTCTTAACTTGAACAGAATGAGCTTACGCTGTGAATAAGCTCTGTGGCTGGAGAGGGTACTCTGTAACCCAAAACAAACGTGTTCTTCTCAAGATAAAGTCTAGTATAAAGTGTCTTCTAGGGGCAGCACTACTCTTTTGGTGGGGGTGGAGATTTCCTGAGGGAATGGCATGTTCTGTAAGGCCGTGAGCCATATTACAGAGCTTAGAAACGGGTCACTGGTTACTACCTTTGTCACTGTCTTAATGCAAACCACTGTCTTAAAGTGTATTTAGAGCTCTCTTCGGTCCTGGTTCTCTTGAAGACTTGCAGGGAAAATGAGCGACAACGCTCTGGTGGAATGTTGACTCTTCTGTAGGAGATGGCGTTTAATGCTGAAGGCTGCTGAGCGGTCTTTTACTTGCGTTTTTTGACAATTGATTCTTTTTGTATTGTAATCTTTATTTTAAGGAGTGAAAGCTTGTTTAATAAAGAGTAAGAATTGTTACCAAAGCTCACCGAGCGTGCTGTGATCTGTGAAAACCAGAAGGTTGATCTTTCTGCTAAGTCTTGCAATCTGAATAAAAGGAAACTGCAGAAAACAGCCTCTCTCTCTCTTTGCACTGAATCAGGGGAATCCATACGCATCTCTTCGTATCCGGTATTCATCTAGGAGCACTACAAGCTTTCTCTAGTTACTGAAAACTGCATACACACCGATACAGTTGCTCGGGTTTGCACTCCTAAGTGCAGGTGTCTCAAACGGATTTTCTTTTCCAGAGCGGAAGAGCGGGCGAGTTCCAGAGCGGAAGGGCGGGAGAGACTCAGACGTCAACACGAAGATGACTTGGCTAAATTACGGCCAAAAGCCGATGACTTTAGTTTAAGGAATAAATACCTCTCCAAACTAGGCGCTCAGGTATTCGTAACAAAGCAGGGGCTTGAATGGCTAAGAATAGAACGAGGAGGTGGTTATTTTGAGAGGTTGGCTTATTGCTTCCAATAGCCACCAAATCACCCGCTGATTACGATGCTGAGTGTGTGCTCGCTCTCAGAAATGAGCTCTCACCAATGGTAATTAAAAATGTAATGAAGAAAACGAATCAATGGCTGGCGGAGCAAATAAGCTGAGGAGCAGGCTCGTTACGATGCACAATTTGTTTAATTCTATTTTTTTTTACAGCTACCAGGTAATGACTCTTCCTGTTTATCGACAGTGGTACACAGAGGCATGTTGAAATAGCATCTTGCCACGCTTGCAAAAGCAGGAGTGGATCGAAGTTCCTGGTACACAAAACTTTGTTTCCAGTACTGACAACTGCCACAACAGAAGCAGAAGGATACACCATGCTTTTCTGCAAGCGTAGATCCTATTTTTAAAATGCTTGGCTTAAGCTTCCCCCTCCGCACAATGGGTAAATAACACGGATACCAACGAAGAACCATCTGGCTGTTTATTTGAACCCATGAGCTATGGGCTACACTCTCCTGTTTAAAATACTCAGTGAGTAGCTGGTGTTAGTAGCTGAGACTTGGTCTCTTCTCTCTGCACAACGATGTCTGAAATGCGAGAGCTTCGTTTCGGTAGGCAAACCGCTGCGACCCGAGCCTTGGTGGAGGCATGGCTTGTTCAGCCTCTCAAGTTGAACGACTTGCTCACCACATTGGGAATGGTCTGTTTTACTTTTCTTATAGAAAAAGTGTAAGGGAGACTACCTTTTTAATTTTTCGTCCAAGCAAATATTTCAGAGGAACCCAAAGTCCACGATTTCAGTGTTCAAAAAGCACTAGCCCTGGAATTTAATACCAGGTCACAGGCTTAGCAGTCAACCTCATGTAAATCCTGATTAATGTGAAAATTGATCTGTTTTTAAGAGGCTGTGACTAACAATGTCGAAAAGAGTTAAATGCACGAACTGAAGTTTGACATCCACTGGAAAAACGTTCCATTTCATAATGCAGCTTAATGCTTTCCCACAATTTCAGTGGGAGGCTGGTTGCTGCAGAGCTAGGAACTCTTGCAGTGTGCATTTTTGCTTTTCCTACTCGTGAAGGGTTACTTGTTTATGTAATTGGACAAACTTTTCCTAAACTAAGCTAATCTTACTTTAAAAAGCAAGAGCATCTGGCTTTCTGGAGCACTGGGTACACCAAGGGATGAGCTGCTGTACAGCTCGAGGATAAGGAGCACACCGAGTGAGCTTTCTGTAGCCGACTTCTGGGAGTCCTTGTGTGCCACAAAATGCTGAAGAGCCTTTGATTAAATATTTGGCTGCAGAGAAAAGTAGCTTAATCTAATAAAAATGTTGCATTATACCTCTAATAATTTTTTACCTACGGTAATTTAAGCAGAACTTCTGGAACTCGTAGACTTAAGGGGTTTTTTTTAAAGATATTTTTAGTGAAACTTTTCATCTTGCTGAAGGACTAAGCTCATCC